AACTTGTTATAATGATGAAAGGGTAACAAATCTTTGATGGATTAATTAATAGGCAAGTTCGTAATTGCATATTGCGCATGCGTCAAATTCAGGAACGTACTTTTCCAAAGGTCACTTGAACATAAAGAGAGCTGAGAGAGGAAATGTAATTTGTTTGTGTGCTGGCCTTTCCGTTGTGAATGATCACATCAGTCACTAAATACTATTTCTGAATGTCGGAATCAGTTCTTTATAGAAAATTGAGAAAATTGTGATATTTTATCATCAAATTTATCAGTTTTGATGATGGCTCCTCAGAGTAAGAAAGTACGGTACTTAGATCCAGATTTTGTGCGGGAAATGAGACAACGGTTTGGTTTGACAACTCACTGATAGTGCTTATTTACATCAACAAAATGACAAATTCATAAAATGATATTGGTATAAACGGAAAGAGGGTGAAATTTCCTACAACTTTCATCCCCATTCATTTTTATACAACATACGGATGAGAAGTTACAGTGGATGAAACATAGTAAAGATTTAAACTATGTGCACTTGAACCAACTCTAAAATAAATCCTCGGTGCAGGGGGATTAGTGGCTGGCAGTGCACAATAGGGATTAGCACTGTGGCACTGCATGGGTGCATTGCATGGGGGCAGTTTAAGAGTTAATGGATTACTGCTTTATTTAGTCCAGCCAATTTATCTAGTAGGCCTATTGGAAGTCCTTCACTAAATAAAGCAAACAATAATTCACATTTATTTAGTCAAGCATTGATTAGGCTGAATGAATAAATGTTGTATTGATTAATTTCATCATGCCTTTAACGGTTATTGAAGACAATATATTACTTTCATTACATTAAAAAAAATATGATACTATTGCTTTATTTAGTCTTGCCAACTTATCTAGTAGGCCTATCAAGAAAAACACTATATTCTTTGTGGTGTGAGTTAAGATAATCAAATTTCCCATAGGAGGGGACTTACACCAAGATAAAAAGAATCATTTACCAGAGATGAAAAGGGGCACTTATGTGAATGAAAAGGGACACTTTTTTTAAAGGTGAAAAGAGGCATATATGAGAAGGGGAAGGGGCACATGTAAAAATGAAAGGTGAACTTATCCAAGTTAAAAAGGGGGTAGTTATTAAAAGGGGGTAGTTATTAAAAGGGGAAGGGGCACTTCTTACAAAGTAAAAGGGGCACTCGTCAAAGTAAAACCTCTCAGATTTAAATAGGGGAATTATCAGAGTTATAGGGGGCACTTATCATTCCTGAAAAGGAGCAGTTCTCGTACCTGAAAAGGTGCAGTTGCTAGAGATTAAAAAGGGCACTTATGAGAATGAAAAATGGACACTTATTGCAAAGAAAACTTGTCAAAATAAAAGGGGCACTTATCAGAGGTGAAAAGGGGAAGGGGCAATTTTACATAGTAAAAGGGCACTTCTTACAAAGTTAAAGGGGCAATTTTCCTATGTAAAAAAGGTACTTGAAAAAAAAGGGGGGCACTGTCCCCCCCCCCCCCCTGCCTCCCTCTCAAATTCAAAGGTCATGGCTCTTGTAATTGAAAGAAAAATTGGACCATGTAACTCAAGAGCTTGGGATTGCCTTTACATGTACAATTGTTTTTTGGAATTAGTTGCATTGATGAGTATCTGCAATTTCATCACACAAATCAAATGTTTTACAGGGCCATTGTGTAATCCTAGAACTTTTAACTTTTGCCTCATGTGTACACCCAGTATAGTTACCGGTAGCTATTTTAGAGGGTTACACAGTTGTCTCTACATAAGACACTTACTGCTTCATTGTAGGTAGTGTGAATAATACATGTTTTGCCTAGTTTGCTTTTAAAAAATTAATTGATTTGACTTCGCCAAAAGACAACTTAAGCGAATTGGAGTTATGCATGCAAAGCGAACTGTACATACATCCCCCAAACAAAACCATTTGTTTTTACCTCTTTTATTCAAGATCTTTAAAAAAAAGGATTGATGTCCAAAGTGACGAAAATAGGTTTTTCATTTTCATTAGGTCTTTCTGTATACAGTCCCTTTCAATGAGCTTACCTGTATAATCAGATTTCAATGACAGTTGGATACCAACAAAATGTATATACCGCGGTACCTCACTAAATGTTGTCATGGTAACCATCTATCTGAGAACAAACCAACATTTTCAGAGAAGTTTTTGATTTTGGGGGATGATATCGATTTCCACCCTTGAGTTTTATCATGGATAATATCTACAAAGTTGAATGACATTTTACATGTCTTTGATGTACCGTATGTAAACACCATTTTGACAATGAAAACTTTATACCGGTATTGCTCATCAACATAGTACCCTGCTTAGCATTAAAAAAAAACTCAATTTCTTGCAAATATCAATTTTTCAATATATATGCGTTTACAAATGCTGTTCCAGAATGAGAAAAAAGTGTTGCTCATGAAATATGTTTGTATGGAAATGTGTTTAATTGACAGCCCAATATCAATAATGTTGATAGCAGCATGTTCTTCTTATAATTTCTATTTAGGAAGGGCAAGAGTTAATTCATCAATTGCTAGAGCAGGAGACTGAAGTGGAGAGACACTATGTGGCAGGTAAGGTACCGTGTACGTACATGTAGCTCTATATTTGATTAGCCTTTTTCCTTTATTTTTGTTCTCCCTTATATATCATCGAACTTTCAGTGGTGTATCTAAAGATTATGGAGCATGGGACGAACAATAATATGACAGCCCCTCTCCCCCCGTACTGTACAACCGAGCGAGCAAAGCAAATGAGCAGTATATTTTATTTTTGCATTTTAACATTAAAAAGTTGTATACATTTTACCCATAGGCAAATTATCCTGGGAGCACTAATAATCGAACAGTAGAGTTTTTAATTGATCATCAGTATCAGATGGGTTTCCATTCATTTCCTCCTCAAATGGGATGCAAAATGAGCAAAAAATCTTGACAAAGGCAATTCAAGTCTTTCAAATTTCTTTCAAATCTTGAAAGTTTGCGAATAAATTGTATACACTTTATGTACATGGGGGCATAATATTAAAAAAATTAAATCATATGATAGAAAGCAAAGCAAGAAGCATTACATTTTAAAAATTCTGAACATTCTAAAATGCAATTTACAAAATGCAAACTATATTCTAGATATTATGGGGCTAACGATGCAAATTGGCGTCAGACACCTGTCCTGTTCACTACCAGGGTACCTTATAACCCTTTTCGTTTTTAGTCAACGCCCATTCTCTACACGATGACGTAATGGCCCACGCACACGCTTATTCAATTTCTCCTTCTTTCACTTCTTATGCTATTCTTCATTTATTATTCTATTATTTTCTCTCTATTATCCTTATGTTATTCTTTGTTCTTCCTTCTTTCATCTTCTCTTTTATCTTTCCATCGTCTATTCTTTATCATTTTCTTTTTCTGTCTTTCCTAATGTTATTGTTTGTTATCATTTTATCATATTTTCTTTCTATCTTTCCTCATTTTATTCTTTGTTTTTTCCTTCTATCACCTTTTCTTATTCTTTGTTTTTATCGTTCTATACTTTTCTTCCTACCATTCCTTATGTTATTCTTTGTTTTTCTATCATTCATCTTCTCTTCTATCTTTCCATTTTCTTCGATTTTGTATCACTTTCTCTTTCTGTCGTTCCCTATTCTTTGTTTCTTCCTTCTATCACCTTTTCTTATGTTATTCTTTGTTTTTATCATTCTATCACTTTCTCTTTCTGTCTTTCCTAATGTTATTCTTTGTTTCTTCCTTCTATCATCTTCTTTTATGTTATTCTTTGTTTTTATCATTCTATCACTTTTTCTGTCTGTCTTTCCTTATGTTATCCTTTGTTTCTTCCTTCTATCATCTTCTCTTATGTTATTCTTTGTTTTTATAATTCTATCACTTTCTCTTTCTGTCTTTCCTTATGTTATTCATTGTTTCTTCCTTCTATAACCTTCTCTTTCTGTCTTTCCTTATGTTATTCTTTGTTTTTTCCTTCTTTCACCTTCTCTTGTGTAATCTTTGTTTTTAAAAATCATTTTATCACTTTCTCTTTCTGTCTTTCCTTATGTTATTTTTTGTTTCTTCCTTTTATAACCTTCTCTTTCTGTCTTTCCTTATGTTATTCTTTGTTTCTTCCTTCTTTCATCTTCTCTTATTTTATTCTCTGTTTTTATCATTCTATCACTTTCTTTTTCTGTCTTTCCTTATGTTATTCTTTGTTTCTTACTTCTATCACCTTGTCTTTTATCATTCTATCACTTTCTCTTTCTGTTATCACTTTCTGATTTATGCTGCGATGTAGCAAGATGACGTCATCTTGACGACGGGGCACTAGTTTTCTGATAAACCTCAACTTTGGCCAGACGACCCCACGCATGCGCAAATCGTTGAAATGACGTCACATCTTTGACATCGACTATGTGGACGTGACAAACAAAAAAAACCTATTAAACAACTGAGCTTTGGAAAATTTTGCATTTCAAATGCTCTTAAAGCTCAGTTTCAAAATAAATGTATTTACACTGTGCATTTTGCACATATTATAGCCAATACAGATTCTAATTTTCTTACTTATTTCCCCTTGCCTTCCTTGAGTTCCCCCTTTTTATTCTCTCTCTCTGTGGTGTTGGTGATTCGTTTCACCTTCCTCACTCCTGGCATGAGACATAATTCTAATGTTAAAACTAAAGTGTCAAAGTGTGAATCAATTCCCCCCCCCCCCCCATAATTAAAAACTTTCCTAAAAAATGTTGGTTTGTTCTTCATAAAATTTGAAAATCATGAACATAGATTTATTGTCCACATCTATACAGAAACTAACATGGACGGAGAAGAGGCTGGAGAAACAGACGAAGAGGAGGAGGGAGAAACGGTCGGAGAGGAAGAGGGAGAAACGGACGGAGAGGAAGAGGGAGAAACGGACAGAGAGGAAGAGGGAGAAACGGACAGAGAGGAAGAGGGAGAAACGGACGGAGACGAGGCTGGAGAAACAGATGGAGAGGAGGGAGAAACAGATGGAGATGAGGATTGGCGTCCAGTTGACCACAGTACAGATGAAGATGATCAAGATGATGAACAAGGCACAGAGAGAAGCAAAGTAAGTGAATGCACTGTTCAGTTAATTTGTTATTATTCTTGTACCTTGAAAACTTAATTTCTAATTGACAGTCACTTTATTTTGCTATCCTTCAAATCTCTGACATGTTCCTGAAGTGATCTATTAAGATTGATATATTGTCGGGCAGCCTTTATCTTTTAACTGAAGATAGGCATATAAAAAATGCAAAGTAACACAAAATGAACAAACAATAATATTAAGAGAAAAAATAGTGAACAAATGTCCAAGAACACAGAACAACTAAATAGATATAAAAGAACATGTGAGGGGACCAGCAATGGCCAGGGGCCTGTCAAGGCTAATCCCCAGTACAATAATAGGTATTTTGGATATTTTTATATTTACAAAAAACAAAAACAAACAAACAAAGAACCCACAACAATATGACAGTCATAAAAGTGACTGACAATACATAACAAAAAAAATCAAGTTGGCAATGTAACAGGCAACATTTTTTTAAATATTGTACTGTTATAAATTAATGAATTGTTTTTATGTAAAATATAAAGTGTGGGACTGTCCTTAATCTATATTGGTATTAAATTCCAGTATTGTACACCAGTGTATGATATTGTTGTTTGTGAAAAACTATATTCATATAATGGCATACTAAAATATTTGAATTTCTCGTACTATTGACTATGAATTGCACAATTTGAAGTAAAGCTTCTGTACAAGTAGTAAATTTGAAATTAATAGCTTATTGGCTTCTATACATTGTCTATATCTACAAGTTGATCGGGGTGGTATTCACAATGTGATCTTCATTAATCTACAAATATCTTTAAAATATTTGATTATCTGAACCAGCCATTTAAAAGACAAGATAGCGCCTTGTATGTTTTATTCCAGCCAATGCCATTGGCTTTTTGTTGGCCCTTTCATGTTGGTTTTAATACGCACCGCCAGCCGGTCCATGTACAGTGTATTGTTATTACTGTATTGTAATTAACGGTCACCATATTTCTTGTTTGTTATGACAATTAACATTGAAATACTTAACACAACAATTGCAGCAATGTTCAGAATACCACCCATCCAGAGTCTTGATTGGAACAGTAAGTTTAGATTTGACTTCTCTTAAGTTTCTCAAAAGTTTGAGGTAGAAAGTGGTAGCTCCTGCAGCTAGACGCGGGATCGGACAGAGTAGCGCTTTAATACATGGCAAACAGCAAAATTACACACATGGGCTCAGATACAAAAAATTTGAAAAATTTGTAATTCAAATGTTGATTTAGAGTTAATTTTGACAAATGATTTGGATTTAAGGGGTTTTTAGTACAGAAAATCAAATGCCACTTTTGTGAAATCTATCTATAAAGAAAATTCACTCCTTGGACCCCTTTGAACAGCATTATTCCGTTTCATGTGATCTAGATCGAACTTCAGACCGTATTCTGGCTTAGATTTAAATCAGGCCTATATGAACCTAATTCCTTTATGCCCAAAATCAGAGGTCAACACCCAACAAAGACAGATCTTTTCTCATTTCATGGTTGATGGTAGAGCATGATTTTGCAGCAAATAAATATTATTAAACACCAACCACGCAACACCAAGTGTGATATCACCCGGTGTCAGAAACGGTAGTACGAAGGACCTTTTTTCCTCATTTAGTAGAATTTATGAGCAGGTCTGTCAACTTTGGGGAACTGCTTGGAGTGAGATGCGTGTTTCTTTTTTTGTCTCTTGCCTGCCCTCCAAAAGTTGCTCAGTGGGGGATGTCTTTTTACTCCACATTCTCTGACAAGCAACAAAAAGAAAAGAAGAAGGTTATTAGCGTTTTTGGCTGATGGTGGTAGGTTTTTCATAAAATGGGAGAATGAGCGTGGAGGCAGGGGACTCCCGCCAAATGCGGAAGGGTTGACAGCCCTGTTTATGAATGTTAAAACATTCACTTTATATTCTGGAGTATTACAAGGACTCAACATTTCTTTTCATGAGTAATCATTTCACCTAGGGTACCTGCAGTGCCTTAAGAACATGTATATATATCCTTTATCCATATCCCGGTGTCATTCTGCATGCTTTACATTGTTCTTTGGGTACAGTACATGCGATCTAAAGCGCTGACATTATTAATTGGTTACAGGGGAAGTCCACTCTGATATGAAGTCAGTTGCCATAAAAGTATAAAATGAGAGGAACAAAAATATAACAATCAGGGGGATTTGATAAAGAATACACATTTATGAAGTTTTACTTCTGTCTCAAAGATTCAATATACAAAATGATAATAATGATAATAATAATAATATTAATAATATTAGGTTCTTGTAAAGTGCATATCACATTTAATTGTCTCTATGCATTTCCAAATTTGGAAAATATTACCCCAGCTTAATCTAGTGCTGCCTGCAATTACAGCGCTCTAGCATCTTCAGGAATTAATTCCTTGCAGGTACCCATTAACCTCAGTTGGCAAATGTAGATTAATGTCTTGCAAAGGGACATTAGTGCCGCGGCGTGACTCAAACCGCAGTCTGGTGACATAACCACTCGACCACAACACCTCAAATGGCAACTGCATGATTACCAAATCGCAAGTTGACTTATGCATTTTTTCATCTGTAATAATTAGGGGAAAATTTGATAAAGAATACACATTTAGGAAGTTTTTCTTCTGTTTTAAAGATTCAAAAATTACAAAAAGGTACATGTAACTCTATGATTACTATTGAAAGTTTAACGCTCCATTTCAATTTTACAAAATGATCTTACAAATTATATTTTTCTACAATGTGAATGTTTTTTCAAAGCCATACCCAAACTATTTCATTGAAAACATGTCCTACTGAAGAATCTTAGATAATTTTTAAAATGTTCCAATATAAAGGTGTGTTCTATACAAATTTTGTAACATTTAGAAGTTTTTGTTTTTGTTTTTTATACTAGGGGCTAGAGGGACACCATTCTGAAGAGATAGCGGAGAGTAAGTATTCTTTCTTTCACATGCTAAATTCACTCTTATCAAATTTGAGATTGCAATCTTTATGCATTAAAATATGCAACTCCTGTATTTTGGTCATTTGCAGTCGATAGTATACAAATGATGCATGCGCATGAGTTCATTATATGATCTATCTGCACTCGAGTTGAGGCTGTGTGTATCTATTGCACTCAGCCTAAAGGCTTCGTGCAATAGATACTCACAGCATCAACGAGGGCGGATAGATTGTATAATGAAGGAATGAAAACATGCATCATTTGTTTTATACAACAAAACTCCTATATGTCCTTGTTATTTCATGTAAAAAGAATCATTCAAGATCGTTTCGTGACAGTATGGCTAGGCTGACAAATAAATCTCAAGTTTAATAAGGCTTAATTTAGGGCGCACACATAGATATAGTAAGCACACTTACCTCTATACCCATTTACGCATACTGTTGCACAAAAATATAAGTCCATGCACACGCAGTATTAAGCGCTCTAACCTCTACGCGCACTACTGCGCACTGAAAAAGAGTTCAATAGGACTGAAAAATATTTCACGCTTTTTAATATACAAATAATGAATGGTTATGAGTTTAATAGTGCGAATATTTTCATGAGTTGAAAGATTAACATTCTATTCAAGAGGCGTCAGCCGAGTTGAATAGAATTAACGTTAATCTTTCAACGAATGAAAATATTTGCACTATTGAACGAATGAAAAACATTCATTATTTGTTTTATATAACATCGAAGAAGATCTAATAGAACGTTAATCAACAAATTATGCTTTACTCCTTATATTAAAGATAAATTAAAGTTGGAGTCAAGCCTTCTCGATTACATTTAGATTGCCTTCGCGTCAGATACACGCAGGGATACGCGCACGGCAAGGTACGCAGTCTGCATATAACCAAAAATGCACGACCATGCAATATAACATCTATTGAATATCATGTGACCAACAATCCTCCAATCAAATGACAAGGATCCACGTAGGTGTTGTATAGTAAGAGTTATTACAAGGCACCGCAGGGAGGATTAATTGAACTTGTTGCAGGACGTTAAAACAATTTTCTTTTAAATATGTCTGTACCTCCAATTTTGTATTAGTCAATTCTTCACCCTGGAGATACAATATGTCTTTCCTTGACTATGAAATTTATCCCAAATATGTACTTGCTGTTAAAAAGGATAAATGTCATTTAACTTACCCGGTAGTCAATGTTTACTTTGCTCTGCAAAGTTTGAAATGCTGAAAATCCATCAACAATCTTGAGCACAAATTTTTCAAACGTGAAGGAAGAACTTTCAGTCCCAAACATTGAAAACTGATATAATATTGTGAAATTAATTTTCAAATACATGTAACTTAAATCCTAAATATTCAATATGGGAACGGCTGATATCACGATTCTGTCACAAAGGGTATTTTGATGCCGGATAAGCTTTTGTACAAGGCTATTGTCATATATTAAAGTAATATTAAGGCAATACAAAGTTTTGGAAAATGTTGAAAAATGGCTGGATAGTGATTCTTTAAAATTTGATATATTTGGATGCCCCTGTGGATGTATTATAAGCACTCTGAAATTTAGCCATTAAAACACTGCCTTCGAGAAAAATCGTATATCAAAATTTACCGGTGCTGCCGATATATTAAAAATAGCGCCCATATGGCCATCCAATTGTAGCTGCGACCATGAAAATCTCAGAATAATAATAATAATATATTAATTTGTAAAGCGCAACAACTATGTGGATATATTCTACTGTACTGCAAGAGCTTGTAAATTACTTACAATTTCATCACTTTAGACTCAATTTCAAACGCGACAATGATCTTTGAATAGTGTGGGATCGCATATGCTTCCAATATGTTCATTTTAACCAAATCATGACCTCGTACCAAAACTTTGTATTACCTTTAAGGTGTAAACAAAGTGTAAATGAAAAATTAATTTATATATTGTACCTTCTCAAAAAATAAACAATTTGTGAAGCAAACAATTACAGATTATATTGAACTGCATGTATACTATAGG